AATAATAATAATTTTCTAATGGCTGTTTCATCTGTTTCTCCTTACTAACTGGAGATTTTCTGAGACTGATCCATAAAATCTGTTTTTCTCTCCTATTGTCCATCTCTTTTTTCCCTACTTTAACAGATCTTCCAATCCTTGTGTTTTGGGTATCATATTTGTAATATCCAAAAGTTCCATCTCATTGTTCTTTTATTTTTTTAATTATACTTTTTTTGAGGATTTAACATTTCATTTTATCTCTATGAGGACATTTTGTCTTCTTTGAAGCATTCTTCTGCTCTCAGCATTGTCTGTTTCCTTTGAATTCCTGCTTTTTCTTTGTTTCTTCATTTTGTTCATTTGTTTAATTTTGGAAGATTTCTTCCAAAATCTGATTAATCTTTGCTGCCCTATCATATTTAAGAAGGACTCACTAAGGGGCTGGAGCTGGGGCTCATCGGTGGAGCACTTGCCTCACATGTGTGAGGCACTGGGTTCGATCCTCAACACCACATAAAAATAAATAAGTAAAATAAAGGTATTGTGTCCAACTACAACTAAAAAATAAATATTAAAAAAAAGACTCACTAAACAGCTGATGTAGAAGCTTTGAAAAATGGGCTTCTAACGGGGATCACAGAGTAGCTGGAGAATTTTTATGGTGAGGGAAGGGGGTGGCAGTCACCAAATGTCAGTATCTAGACCAAATGTCAGGTTTTTCTATGGGATAGCTCCATTTCTTCTAAGAAGGATACTCTAACAATCCTGGTGGGATGTAGGGTGGTAAGACTGCCAGTGTGCTGGAGCTAAACAGAGGAAGGAAATTCCTCTGTTCAGATGCGTCATGTCCTACAATCCCCTATGTATTGTCTTGCCTTTCTTAGTGTTCAGAGTTCCCAAGAGCAGAAGATCTCTGGGCATTTCTACAGAGATTCCTGCATATATAGAAGAAATGGTCCCAGGTAGGAAAGGACTTTGAGGGTCTACTAATCCTCAAAAAGACTTTCAAATAAAAACCACTCACCAAATTACCCTCCTTTCTTCCTACTCCTTCCAGAGAGCTGTGGGATGAGTCAGCTACTTCCATCTATATCTCCTTCCACAGGCACTTGGCTTTGACCTTTCTCCGTCCTGCCAAGTCATGCACCATTCTTCCATCCACTTTCCATCTTTGTGGTTAAGGGCTATTTATGTCTCCTTGTTTTATCAAAGACAGAGTTTATACTCCCTTTTCTTTATTTTCCCTATTGCTTGCGGATGACTTTTTAGAAAAAAAAAAGATTGAATAAAAGACAGAAAGGAAGAATAAATAAGACTATTTTGCCATCTTGAAGCCAGAAATCTCTAGTCCTTTTTCGTAACTATTTTATCACCCCATTCTCTTTTCTACCAATATCATTCTGGTTCATAATTCTGGCTTCTGGATCACAGTGTGGCTAAACATTTTGTTAGGCTGATTTCAGACATCTGACAGTTTATTAATGAATTAACAATTTCCACATCTACTTATCATATCTCATGTGCAGTAGTTGCTATCTGCAACTAAATGAGGTCCACTCAATATAAAATAATTGAGAGGGCATTAGTCATCAATCTCCTGTAGGACTCAGTATACATGTCAAACACGCATATTATTCTGTTTGTTCCCCTGCCCCTCCATTCTTATACTTCTCTTTACCCCAGGAGGCTGACTTCTATGAACAACTCCTTCACCCATTTCCATTTATTGCCATTTCCATCCATGTCACTCTTTTTTCCCCTGCCTTGCTGGCAAAATGTAGAGAGAGATTATTCCGGAGCCTCAGCTCTTAAACTTTAATGGCTTCCAGCTTCACAAGGAAACCCTACCTAGTTGGTTCCCTTGATCTTTAATAAATAATTACTTTATTAAACTCTCTTCAGTTATACCCAATGTGCCATTTGTTTCCTGCTGGGACACTAACTGATACATCAATAAAAAAGAAGATTTGGGGCTGGGGTTGTGACTCAGTGATAGAGCGCTTGCCTAGCATGCACGAGGCACTGGGTTTGATCCTCAGCACCACATAAATGTAAAATAAAGATATTGTGTCCACCTAAAACTAAAAATAAAAGAAAGAAGATATTATACTAGTTCATCTCTAAAATTCCTTGAGTCCTTATGCTCTATGATTTTTACAATTCACATATACAATTGGCACTTAATTAAAGACTCTAAGAAAATTACAGGCTTCCTTTTGATCAAGATTCTGTCTCACTCCAGGATTTAAAAAAAAGAGCTCTCCATAAAATTATGCTCAGCCCATAGAAAATATTAGTATTGTTAGTACAACTTAAACTAGCAGGGAAAGCCAGGATATACATACCATTCCCTTTATGTTGTAGGCATTTTAGTTACAAATTCCAATAAAAATATATTTGCTATTTTTTGCTTGGAAAACAGAGACAGTCAGAATTAATTCCAAGAGTTCAAGTGTTTATTTATCTTTTTTTTTTTTCTTTTGCATTAGACATTCATATTATCAAGAGTCAGAAAAATGCAAAAAAAAATTAGTTTCACCAATTCTCCCATTAAAAAAGTGAATTCCTTAACTTCAAATCTCTCTCCAGATATCAAATTATCTCTTTCCATGAATAGCCAGGAATTTTTGATCCAACAAACTTTTCCACTTTCTTACCTCTCATAGACCCTTCAACCCATTCCTGTCTTAAACTGTTCTTGCCATGGTTTTATTCAACTTCTTTGTTGCTATATTAAATGACTACTTCTCAGGCCTGTCTTGCTTAACCTCTTGACAGCAGTGGACAACATTGCCTTTCATTTCATGAAACATTCTCTTCCTTGTCTTTGCTGTTGGTTCACCTTTCTGGTTTTCCTACTTCTTAGATTTCTTCAGTGAACATCTCTTCTTCTGCCCATCTCTTACATGTTCATGCTTATTGGGGTTCTGTCCTAGCCTCCCTTATCCTTCCATCTATACTCCACCACTGGATGTTCTCATCCCCTCCAATGGCTTCAAAAGTCAATTATATATTTAATAGTTCTTAAATTGATCATCTCAGGTCCAGATCTCCCTTCCTCAACTTCAGAGTTTGTTTGTTTGTTTTTGCGGTTCTGTGGTTTTAACCCAGGGCCTTGAACATGTAGACAATGCTCTACCTTGGAGCTACATCCCCAGCACTCCACAGATTTGTTTTCATTAACTAAATACTTTAAAACTCCATTAGTATGCACAAAAGATTCCTCACACTCCATGTTTCAGCTTCCCCTCTAAGCTAATTTCCATCTATATTCCTTATTCCAATGAATCACACCAAGTCAGAAACCTGAACCTAATCCTTGATTCTTTGCTTTCCCTATCCCCATACCCAGTGACCAAATCCTACTGATTCTGTCCAAGATATACCTTGATTCTATTATCCAATTCTCTCCATTCTCACTACCATTATCCCAGACCAAATCACCTCCCTACTGTTAATATTGTTAGCCTCAAATCCAGACTTTATAACATGGCTAGCATGATTTTTTAAAACATAGATGCAATTATGTTACCCTCTTCCTAAAACCCTGCAGTGGTTTCCTACTACTTTCAAGATGAAACCCTCAACATGGTTTACAAAGCCCAGTATCTTATCTCAAAACCAGTACCCAATTACCATATGCTCCAGCCATAATGAGTCCCTTTTAGTTCCTCCAACAAGCCATGAACATTCTTACTCTAGATAATTTACATTATTTTCCCTCAACCTAATAAATGCTTATCTAATGTTATCAGTGTTATACCATCAGTATTTCTTGACTAGCATCTACAATTCCTTGAATGCTTGATACCTTAGCTTTGATCCTGTTCTCTCTAGGTCTGGGTTAGATTTGCTTCCATAGCATGCTAATTATCCACTTATCACATTCTATTATAATTACCTATTTACTTGTCTTTTTTAGATAATTAGTATGATAAGGGTAAAGATTATGCCTATTACATCTCCAATGCTTTGAATGTTACATAATACAAAGTGGCCACTAAAAATGATTGAATAATGAACAAACCAACTATCAGATTAAAAGTTGTACCCAGGAAGGCATATTTTACATAGATACTTCCTTTCCCTCCCTTTCTCCTCATAAAACAAATACAAAGTAAGCTATCCTTTCCCCCAATAAACCATTACTTACAAAGGTATAATAATGGATATCTACACATAAAAATTGAATAGAATTCTGAATCTTTGCTTTCTCCTTCATTTCTCCTTGTGTGCCTATATATAAAATTTTCAAACTGAAAGTTTAAACATGCTTTAAAGAAACTAAGCTGTGGTTGACTTTCTCTTGATCTGCCTGATGCCCAATCTGTTCCCAAATCATCTGTAAACTTGATAGTTTATACATGGAATAAAAAGAACTTATAAGAACACTTTATTTGAACCAGAACACCAAGTGTTAATTAAAGCTGAGCACACCTGCTCTGAACTGAAAAGTCAGAGATTTATGTGAACTTATAAAGTTAAGGCTTTCTGACCTCTTGTAGGATTTATATTTCCTTTAAATAAGCATTTCCCCTTTGAAATGCAATTTTTTAAGTTTATTTCAGTGACTAACCTACTCACATAAACAAATACGCTGCTCACTTCCTTTATTACCTATTCTTTACCCTTTTTACCCACGGCTTGTCAAATATTTAATTTAAAGTTTTGGGTGAAAATAAGCAGGCCCAACCATGAGGACTAGAATTTCTTGTTCTAAATTAACTTGTTAATGAGGTAACCTTTAAAAAAAAAATCCTTGCATTCAAAAACCATATTTAATCAAGAGTATTTTAATACAGTAATTCATAGACCTGGTCACTCAGTTTGGAAAATATCAGTTACCTTATAGTGTTTTATCACAGGCAAGACTTCTTAGGCTGCAGTGTTTATCCACATATGTAGTCCTTTCAAGTAAGACAAAAGTTTTTCAATCAAGGAAGACATGCTGATTTTGAGATTTGGATGCTAATGCCATAAAAGAGGATTCTGTGAGGTTTACTATGAAAGGCAGTTACCTTAGATAGGTTCATTCCCAGCACTGTAAGTGTCACTAAGCCAGCACAACAGACCAAAGCACTAGAGCTGGAGAGGCCAGAACTTGGTGGGATATTTCCATCTACCAGGCAGTTCATTCCAGTCAGGTTACTAAGACCAAAGTGTTCCTAGAAATATAAGGAAAAATAGCAATAGTAGTTTCATAGTTGAATTCAATGAGTATCAAAATCTTCTTTCAAAAGTTTACCAATAAGGGCTGGGGCTGGGACTCAGTGGTAGAGTCCTCGCCTAGCATGCAGGAGGCACTGGGTTCGATCCTCAGCACCACATAGAAATAAAATAAAGATATTGTGTGTCCACCTAAAACTAAAAATTAAATATTTTTTTAAAAGTTTATCAACAAATTTACTATCACATTTGTAGAAACTAGTTATATGATTCAAAGTAGTGGAGACTACACATGATAATTTGATTTAATGGCTCTTGCCCTTAGACTAAGGTCATCTGAAGATTATTTTTTCCTTTTTTCATCAAAAAGCTACTGATTCATTTCCTGAAATTGCCATAAATGTTCTTTTTCTTGACTATTGATTTGAACAAATATGGAAAAAATACAAAAAGTAGTTATAATTAAGCTTACCAAAAACAAGAAATACACAATCATTAGCACACATCATCAGCACTGTTATTATAAACATGCCTACACAGTGGCATGTTTCCATAGAGTATCTTGCTTCGAAAGCCATCTGAAGAAAAAGAGCTCCAAACTTTCTCAGTACTATCTTACTTATTTAAAAAAAAAAAAAAAAAAAACCTAAGCACCAGCAAATTCAGAGACTTTTCCAAGATCACACATGGAGTAGGGCCCAGGTCTCTGATTCCCAGTTGAGAACTTCTCTCCCACAGTTAGAAACCTAGGCCAGCATACTGTCACCGTGATTTAATATAAGTCAGCTATATGAGGAAATCCAGATCTTTTAGTAGAGTTTATAGATACAATCTAGCCATATGGTAGCTATAAAGACAGTCAAATTATAATTCAACCACAAATGAGAATGCAGACTCCAAATGAGGCAGGAAAACTGTTTCTACAAATTAGACTCTGACTTAAAAGGTGGAAAGTTCTGGGGCTGGGGTTGTGGCTCATCTAGCACATACGAGGCCCTGGGTTCGATCCTCAGCACCACATAAAAATAAATAAATAAAATAAAGGTATAAAATAAATAAATAAGGGTGGAAAGTTCTAACATACTTACAGGAATATCTAAGACTAGGACACTTTGGATGATATCGCAACCTTTGTGGAATAGGATTAAAAATAAATTTAAGGTTACCTCCTCCTTAAGAAAAAGTACCATCATCTTCACAAATTACTCAAACAACTCAAGACCAAAGAATGAAATACTATTATATTGCCTAATTATGCATTTCATCAGACATATTATTCTAGGGAGAAATTTCAATAAACTAGTTAGAATAACCAAAGTAACAACAAAACTCTGCAAATAAAAGAGTTTTTCTTCTTAATTTTTTTGTCCTTTTTTCTTAGTTGGCAAAACTCATGCACCACAAAAGAAGAGATTCACTTGGATGTACTTCTCTTCTTGATTTCAAGTCATCTAAAAATTTCCTTCCAGAAATACAAACAAATTATAAACTGAAACACTGCTGTTGCCAATGCCCTTTCATACCAAACATCAGACAGCTTGTTTTAAAAAAGTAATCCTTGGAAAATACTATATATTTAACTATAAACTGATCCACAGGGTGTCTTGAATGTGAATCATACTTACAAACTTATCACGCAATGTTTAAATTAAAATGTACAACAGATTCAAAAACGCACATGAGTTGTGCCAAATTCTGTAATAGCTCTATCCCAAAAGGATAACATGTTCAATTTCATATAAACAGATTATCCTCTGGAACTTTCTAGTATTAAGATTTCTGAACAGGCTAACATTTAAATTGCTCTTCTGCCAAAAGTTCATTGTACAAACCTGCTTTTCTACACATAAGTTGTCAAACCAAAGAGGCAGGCTTTAAACCCTAGAAGGCTCAAAAGCAACACAAAACAACACTCATTATTTAGGCCTCTTTATCCATCTGCTACAAAAAAATCATGTTGTTATAAGAAGATCTTATTGCATTTGCCAGGCAAACACTTCCAAATTCCCACTAATGTATAGGATAAACCAGATGATTTTAAGATTAAAACCCACCAATAATTTCTCCCATAATTTATGACCTTGTGTCTGGGAGAGAGACACATACACAAAAAAGAAGTGAATATGGTAACTCTAAGACCAGAATTAGAGTATAGGATTACACATCAGATAAAATTTTGATGCATTTCTGTAATGACAGGTCATTAAGTTCTAGGCTACTCCTGACAAAGTTTCAGAAAGGACCAGCAGGCAGTTAGGAACACAAGGTCTCTAAAATCTAGGTTAGCTTGTTTATTACTGACTCACTTCTTAATATCATTGACCTATGATTCTAAACAAGAGTCACTACATCTAAAACACATACTGAAATATGAAAGTCGTTCTAAAAACAGCAAATATTGATTTTTCTGTTTGTCTTCATACTTTTTTAATTATAAGAGAAAATAGAGATATCATTCATACTTTTTTAACTATGAGAGAAAATGGAGATATACATTTTCCTGTTCTCGCACATGGCATTAGAGATTTTCAAGGTAATTATTTAATGTTTCTAGGACACTACTTGTACAAATACATTTCACTACATCTTTTTTTTAACCCTACCTGGAGTCGCAATAATAATACTAGTTACCATTTAATGAAGTCCTACAGGCATCAAGAACTCTGTCATCCTTGTAACAACTCTTTTGGGATAGCAGTGACATCATTTTACAAGTAAATCTGAGACTTAGGTTAAATTAATATAGCTGGATAGAGCCCAGATTGAAATCTGGGGCTGTCCAACCCTAAATCCTTACAATATACTTCTATATATCCAAAGAAAAAACTATAAAAAATTTATTAGAATATATCCTTAACAGAAAACATGACTTAAAAACACAATTTAAAGATTTAACCAGACAGATGTTGTCAGATGCACCTGATTTATGAATAGCCAGCTATATGAAAGCCCAATGCTGCCCTCTGTGAATACTACCCAGAAACAGTCATATCTTCCTGCCTTTTGAAACATAAGTTAGCAAAAATAGAAGAGAAACCTCAGTTAGTATCGAGAGGAGACCAAAATGATACAGTAAATAAAATAAATGTGACATAATATACCCAATAATCTCAACTGCTAGCATTACCTTATGAACCAATTTACCTGAATTCCTTTAAATCCACATAGGAAATAGTTGTGCCACAAAGGATTTGTTCGGTCAATCTGAATGTTATTCGCACTAGTACTAAAGTCCCTGCAAAAACAAAAGCTACCATTAATTTAAACCTGAGGCCTTAAACTGCGAAATCAATGGCAGACTACTGCCATCTTGTGCTAAGACAGTGATACTGACAACTCCTTTTCCCTTTACTTTCAATATATGTACTTCAGTCTACTCCAAAACAATGAACATCTCCAGCTGCTAAAAGTTAAGAGAGGAAGTTGTAGTAGCCTTAATGACTAAACTGCCTTTAACTGACCTCTTTTATTTCCTGAAACAGAGAGGAACCAATATATTTTAGTATAATCTACAACCATTTTCTCTTTCATGTTAGCCCTTGTTAAGTTGGTGTAAACCACATGAATGCTTTATCCTCTGGGCCTGCAGTTTGGCAGACCCCCAACTGAAACAGGAGTACTCAAAGCCCTCTTTCCCCACACTCTCTGCCACCCATCCTATTTGACCATCTGTGGAATTTAAGAAAAAGAAATAACAAGCAAAACAAATAATTATTCTAATGGATCATAACACACTGGGGGGGTAAGATTCTATGAGTCTATACTAATATAAATTAACGAATAAATAGCTAAATGAAAGAGAAAACTCTTTTTTGTATCAAAATGCCAACAAATAAATGTAGAAGAAATTACAGAAATAAAAAAAATCACTTTATGCTGAATTCTATGATAATTGTTTCAGGAAAAAATCATCAATAGATGTTAAAATTACAGAGTAAAAATCTAATGATGGGGCTGGGGTTGTGGCTCAGTGGTAGAGCGCTCGCCTAGCACGTGCAAGGCCCTGGGTTCAATCCTCAGCACCACATAAAAATAAATAAATAAAATAAAGATATTGTGTCCAGCGATAACTAAAAAATAAATATTTTTTAAAAAAATCTAATGAGAAAAAGATATTTACATATTCTAAATGCATCTCCACCAAATATTTTTAATTAAAAAAATAATAACTTTATGGTAAAAAATATCTGGCAGACATCACCTTAACCAAATATTCAAAATTAACATCACCAATAAAAGGATATCATGTGCTTCCTTGATATAATGCATTGAGGATATATCCCTGGATATGTGTTCAGTCTTCTTAGTCACTATTTTGTGACTTCTGTGAAGAAAACTTGAAATGAAAGACAAATAAATAGATAAGACAGTCAAAGAATAAAATATAGGAATGTTGCAAGGATCAGTAGAAAAGAGGAAAGCAAGGCAACATCCCCCATGTTGAATCAATGTTTTCCATATAATTTACTAAATATCTACTATGTGCCAGTCTTTTAAATCAATACCTTCCATGCATTTCTTAACTCAGTAACATGAATACATCATCTCTACCAAAAAAATAGTGACTGATCACTTAAGTGTGCAAGATATGCAGAGGAATATAAAGGTAAAAGGCAGAGGACTTGTCTTAAGAATTTGTAATGTAGCCAGGATGCCATGAATACAAACCACTACCAGACAGTACAGTTATGTGATAATGTGTAATATGAAGTGGGATATGAGGCTGAAAGGGTATTATTTCTATAGTCCAGCAGTGGACAAAGAGGAAAGGCCTTTCAGGAGGCTCAGAAAAGTTCAGTGACTTTCCAAGGACACAGTCTGACTTCAGCTCACAAACATTTCATTCTGTTATTACCCATGGAAGTCAACAAAGGGTTACAGAATTTGGAAGCAGATAAAATTTATGTTAGCAAATCTGATGGGCTGTGTTCCTAGTTAAGAGAGGATCTTGAAAGTCATAAAGAAAAGAAAATGTGTATATTCGGAAAAGTGGAAGAAAACTGTAAAGAGGTAGAAAGCTAGATAAGCAACATTAAGGAAAAAGTTGAATAGTTCAAATTCCTACAGAATTAAAGGTATAGGCTGTCTGTCATAGGGGGAAAAAAAACGCTCTTTAATTAGCTAATTAATTATTGCTTTTTCCAGTATCCTTGTCTGGCCTTTCTGCTTAGTCATTTCCTACATTTCAAACCCGATCACTCATTTTCCCAGCAACCTCACTCCTGCATTCTATCATCTGTATGTTTTCTCTACTCCTGCCCCCATGTTGTAGAATTCTGAGAATAAAGTTCCTGAAAATGAGCATAAATGATTCACTACATTGATACTTTCCACTTATATATTTTACTCATTCATTCACTTGTTCTTCCAACATTTTCCTAGTGTCTATCCTGTTTGTATGACTGGTATAGGGCTAGAAAATGTACAATAATAATAGCATCAAGAATGTGAAATATTTAGAAATTTGACAAAAGATGTAAAAGAAATGTATCCTGAAAATGACAAAATATTTCTAAGAGAAACTGAAGACCTAAATAAAAGGGGAGAAAGATTCATGGACTGAAAGATTCAAAATTACTAAGAGCCAATTCTCTCCCAAATTATATATTCAGTACAACTCTAATCGTAATCTTGGCATGCTTTCTCATAGAAATTGAATAGCTAATTCTAAAATTACTAGGCAAAGACTTAGAATAACCAAATCACTTTGAAAAAGACAACATTAGGAGACTTATACCACTTGATTTCAGGATGTGTTATAATGCTATAGTTATCAGACAGTATGTTAATGGAATAAAAATAGGTCAATGGGATAGAATAGAATACAGAAATAGACTCTCACATTGGTCTATTTGTCTATCTTTATGCCAATAAGTGATGGGAAATAACTGGATTGCTATATGCACAAAAACAAATCACAACATTTATCTCATAGTACATACATAAATGAGCTAAAAATGGATCATATACCTAAATGTAAGAGCTAAATCTAGAAATCTTTTAGAAAAAAACATAGGGAAATCTTTAAATGATCTTGGATTTTGCAAAGAGTTCTTTAGTACAGTTAAAAAATATAAATTATAAAAGAAATCATAGGATTTCATCAAAATTTTTCTTTTCTCCTCACTAGTAATTATAATGTACAATTAAAAAGTTAACTAAAATAAAATATTTCTTTCCTCAAAAGACATGGTAAAGAAAGTGAAAATTTAAGTCATATTCCAGATGAAAATATTTGCAAAACATGTCTGACAAGGACTTATACTACACAAGAAACTCTTACTGGGTCAATAATAATATAAGATTTAAAAAAAAAACTAAAAATGGGCAAAGACTTACATAAATCCTTCAACAATGAACATATCTATTGCTATGGTTTAAATATGTGTACCCCAAAACTCCTGTGTAAGACAATGAAAGAAGGTTTAGAAGTGAAATGATTAGGTTATGAGAGCTATATATTGGGTTATAATCCCTGATAGGGATTAACTGAGTGGTAAATGTAGAAAGGTAGGATGTGGCTAGAAAAGTGTGTCCCTGGGGGGCATCCATTTGTGATACAGAGCTCTCTCTGCTTCCTGGCCATGTCCTGAGCCACTTTCCTCTACCATACTCTTCTATTATGATGTTCTGCATCACCAAGAGCTCTGAGGAATAGAGTAGGCAATCTATGGACTGAGAGCTATGAAACCATGAGCCCCCAAGTAAACTTTTATTCCTTAAAATTGTTTTTGTCAAGTCTTTTGGTCCCAGTAATGAAACAGCTAGAAGAGAAATTGGTACCAGGAGTGGGGTCACTGCTGCAACTAACCTGACCATGTGGTTTAGAATCTTTTACAGCTTTTTGGAATTCATGGGAGGAATTTTGGAAAGTTAGCGATGCAAGCTGGAAAAGCATTAAAATGTTGTAGTGGGCCTTAATTGGGCAACTCTGATGGGAGTTTAGAAGACCAGAATTGAGTATGAACAGCAAAGATTGGGGTCATGAGGTTTCAGAGAAGGGGAACTCAATTGGAAATTAAATAGAGACCATTAGTGTTAAATTCTGGCTAAGAAGCTGTCTGCATTTTGCTTGTGTCCTGAGAATTTCTGCGAGGATGATTTTTAAAGTGAGGGACTGCTTAATTTGGCAGAAGGAATTTCTAAGCAGCATAGTATTCAGGTAGTGCCATGGATATTGCTGGTGGCTTTTAGCAAAGTTAATTGTGATAAACAGATGCATAAAGATTGAAAAACTTGCATTTGGCCAGAAAACTGTAGGTAAAACCAGGGCTAAGGAATGTGTGGTTGTTAAAGACATTACAGCCATTAAAGAAACACTACAGACTTTGACCATTAACAATAAGAAAGATGGATTGTGGGCTCTCAGGAACTGGCAAGACCACACCCATCTCAGGCTCAAGGGTATAAAAGTTAAAGTTTCTTTGAGCAGAGATCAGTGGGGCAACCTGCTTGCACAGGACAGCCTAGAAAGTTGTTTCACCATGCTCAGCCACACAGGCACTCGGAAGCTGCTAAGCATGGTCACTGGAGGCTTGGCTACTGCTCAAGATAGTGGCAGACATTGGCAGCAACCACATGGTGCTAGTTTGGCAGGATTGCAGGATGCCAAAGATAGAGGGTCACAGAAGCTTCCACCAAGATTTCAAAGGAGAAGGACTGGGAGGCCAGGCAAAGTGTAGTAGAGTTGGAGTCCCAGAAGGCAGCCTCTGAGAAGGCAATGCAGGAAGATGTGAGAAGGAAGTTAAAGTTGCAGTGGAGACCCCGAAGAATAAAAATTGCCAGTAACATGGGACTTTTGCCAAGGAAAGCTGCAGGAATTGGGCTGAGACAAGCCAATGTGGACTGCAACCAGCAAAGCCATAGAAGCACAGCTACACAAGCCCTTTGGAGAAAACATCAGGATACTGTGTGCTATAGATGCTGGACATAAAGCTACAAGACTTCCTTGCCCAGCTGGATTTTGGCCTTGTTTTGGTTCTATACCAGTATTAATGGAAATGCTTACTATGTGTCTTTATATAATCAATACATGTAACTTGCTTTTAAGTTTTACAAGAGCTCCTGCTGAGAGTTTGCCTTGAGTCTCTGAACAGACTTTGGAATTGAACTTTTGAGCAATACTCAAATGGTTGAAACTATGAGGACTCTTGGAAATGGACTAAATGTATTTCACATTGAGCATGAAGTTTTGGGAGCCAGGGGCAGAATGTTATGGTTTAGATAACAGGTGTA